TTTTCTCTATTCACCATGCCCTTTTCCTGTTTTTCTCCTCCTCTTTATGATTAAAATCACCAAAGCATTGAGCAAGTCTTGTGTGCAGTTTACCATGCCGAGGACAGTGAAGGGCCGTTGATGGAAAAAATTGGATATTCACAATCTTAGAAATGAATAAATGGGCAAACCAAACACACAAAAATCAGCACTCTTTAGAAATCTGGGTTTTTATTAAACATTTCCAGCCCTGCCTCTGATGTGGGGCAAGTTACTAAACATTTCTAATATATATATATAGAGAGAATAGTAACTCCATTACCTTTGGAGTTTGTTGGGAGAAAGAGATGAGAAAATGTCTGTTAAGGAACTTTAAAGATCTTATTTCATTCAACATTCCAATAGGGGTTTGTGGGAAGATTACAAGCTAATCCTAAAATTCATATGGAAAGCAAAGGACAAAGAATAACCAAAACACTTTCTGAAGATGAAGAGTAAGGAAACATTGGTGCCATTAGGCTGTAGTAATCAGGATGAAGTGTTACTGAAATGGGGTAGACGAACAGACGGCCATGGATGCTCTAGACAGAGACCCCTTCATAAAAGATAACCTGGGGTAGAACAGACGCACTTTATGGGTCTGTGGGGAAACGAGAAACTACTCAAAAACTGACACTAGGACGGTAGTTTAGACACAAGAAAAAAAAAACCCATAAAATTCTAGATGAATTAAATATCTTAATGTGAAAAGCAAAAGTTGTAATCTTTCAGAGGAAATATGGGAGAAAATATAATATCAAGGCAGAGGAGCAGTTCTGCAGACAAAAAAAACACATAAAGAAAAAGGGTTGATACATAGTTGATTATATCAGGATAATAAAAATTCCTATATATCAAAGAATTCTATAAAAAATAGGAAAAGATAAAGTAAAACTCTCTATGATATTTGAGATGTATGTACATGATAAAGAATTAATATACGATCAACAAAGAATTTACACAAATTGAGAAGTAAAAGGTACATAACCTAATAGAAAAATAGGCAAAGGATATGAACAGAGACTTCACAGAAGAGGCAAACAAATGTAGCAAAAAAACAGACCAAAAGATGCTCAGAACCATGAAATGTAAACAATGATATTAGTTCATATCTATTGAGTTGGAAGAAATTAAGTCCGGAAAATATCAAGTGTTGCTGAGGATGTGGAACAGTGGGAATTTCTATGCACTGCTGGTGTGAGCACAATTTGGCACAATAACCCTAGAGAATATTTTGGCATTGTGGGAAATTGGAGAGTGTACATACTCTAAAACTGCTGTCCCCAGCTGATGGGCCATGGACCGGGACCAGTCTGTGGACTGTTAGGGACCGGGCACACAGCAGGAGAATGGTAGGCAAGTAAGCAAAGCTTCATCTGTATGTACAGCTGCTCCCCATCACTCGCATCACCGCCTGAGCTGCACCTCCTGTCAGATCAGCAGTGGCGTTAGGTTCTCGTAGGAGCTTGTAAACTGCGCATGCGAGGGATCCAGGTTGCGGCTCCTTATGAGAATCTAATGCCCGATGATCCAAGTTGGAGCTGGGGCGGTGATGCAGGTGCTGGGGAGCGGCTGCGAACTATCCTTAGCAGAGAGGTTTGACTGCACGATAAATGTAATGAGCTTGACACATCCCAAAACCATCCCTCCTACCCCCTAGCCTGTGGAAAATTGTTTTCCATGAAACTGGTCCCTGGTGCCAAAAAGGTTGGGAACGGCTGCTCTAAAACACATTTTAGGAAAGTCTAGAAAAATGGAGCTGGTGATTAGAGGATAAAAGAAATACTCTACTCTGGCTTTTATAGACAAGGCAACATACAAAGATGTTTATTCCAGCACTCTTTGCATTAGGAAAAAATAGAACATCATAAATACATGTCAGTGATCATTGGCTAAATGAGATGTAGTATAATTATGAAATATAATAGAATCCTATAAATCAGTTCAGATAAATTAATGAGAGGCACAGGTATCAACAGGTATAAATCTAGAAAACCTAATGATAAGTGAAAATGTAGGTTGCATAATTATACATAGTATGGTATAGTTATAAAACATAGTATGGTAAAGTTATAAAAACAAAAACATACTGCATATTATTTTTGGATAAATATATACATACATATAAAATATATATGACAATTTTAGGACATTGATTAACACCATGGAAGGAAGAAAATAGGGTAATGTGATTGAGGTAGGTTAAAAGGGGCTTCAAATCTATCTGTAATATTTTCTCTTTTAAAACTGCAAAAATAGCAATGTGTTAAGAATTTTTTTAAGCTCCTCATATTCTATGCATTTTTTGTTTGCTTGAAATATTTAAATTTTTTAAGAGTGTTTTGAAGCAATTGTTAGATATTATTGATGTTTATTAAACATAATTACTAAAAATTAAATTGTGCGAACTCACAGTCAATGAATTATACAGTATCGAGAATTTGGGGTTATTACTTTGGAAGCCGGGAGCAGCCCTGCAGAGGTAGAAGCAGACCTCCAAGGAGAGGACCTCGGCTGACCGGGATGAAATTTCTGAGTGGGAGCCACGGGCTGGACTGGAAATGTGTGAACTGGAGCCACTGGCTGCTACTGGAACAAAGGGTAGCATTGCTGATGTCCTGCAAAAGAAACAGGAAGGACGGAGAGTTCCTTCTCTGATTTCTGGTCTCGCTCTGGTGCCCCCTAATGTCACAGCTTAACCGGGAACAGCTGGCAAAGTAGAAATGTCGTTTGCAGAGGCCTTTCCCCAGAATCCAAAGCAGAGGAAGGAGGGTGCTCTTGAACCTGAGAAGCAGTAACTTGATACTACAGGTTTCTCAACCGCTTCACAGAACCTCCTTCTTCCCCCCACACTCCAGAACATCACTTTGTAATGGCAAAGGGTAGAGGCTCTTGTTCTTCCACCAGCCACCTAACAGGGCCCTGCAAGAAGTCAGCACTATTCTAGCTTCTCCCTGCTGCTTCCTTCCATGCGATTCCACTTCCACCCTCTTGTAAACCCACGTCTAGTCATAAGCCCTCCATTTCCCCTCGTTTGGGCCTTCCACACATTTCATTTCCTCCACACAGAAACTCTGGCCAGCGCCCCAGCCTTTCTCTGTGCTCCAACTCCTGCTGCGCTCCTGAGGAGTCACCGTCTATGTGAAAACCACGAGAGCCAACTCACAGCTCATCCGTCTCGTGTAGCTCGATGCCTCCCATCCGACTACACAAAACCACCCAGCCCCATGGCCTCTTCCTTGATTTTGCGGTTTCTGAACATCCTTTCCTTGTCAAATCTTCATCTCCAGTTCTCTACTTTCTCCAGGATGACCACATAACTTTTTATCTCTCTCAGACCTTTCCTTCCAATTGGCTTGTTTTCTGACTTGTTGAAATCACGACTGCCTGCAACTGTTCACTTTTCTCCACGCCTGTCAGCACTTCTTTGGGTTGACTCTCTACCTGACTTGCCTTAGACCCCAAGAACAGCATTTTAATATTATCATAATTCCCTTTTGCGGCCTCTCCCCAGCCTATTCTCCCATTGTGGATGCCTCGCAGATCTGCACTCCTGGTTCATACAGAAATCTAGGTTCTCCACTCCAGGAATGCTCCCGAGGCCACTCCAGATTCTTGCCTTTTCCAGCCACGATTCTTGAAAGCTGAGTCTGCCCCTGCTATCTCCATGTCTTGGTCTGCGCCCACTTTCAGTCTATTGTTTTGCTGAATCTGCTTTTGGTTAAGGTTAAAGATGACATTATAGTTTTAGAATCAGTGAAAAATTTTCCATCTTTATCATACTTGGTTTCTCAATGTATTGAACACTATTGAATGCTCCCTCCTTTAAACTCCACCCACATTTGGTTTCTGTGATATTCTTTTCTTCAGATTATCTTCCTGCATTCTGCTCTTCCTTCTCAGTGGCATTTTATAGCTCTTTTTTATATTTTATATAGTTTACGACTGATACCTTTTATTCCTATGGTTTCTGTGACCACACACACACACACACACACACACACACACACACACACACGATGCTTTATCTGTATCTCCTAGCTCCAACCCTGCACATCTGTGTTCTTACTAATGTCTTAAATCTTTTAAAACATAGCACGCCATCTTCCCACCTCCACCCTGATCCATCCCACGCAGTCTTTTATTGCTGTCCACTCTGTTTATTAAGTCAGGGATATCAGTGGTGGCTTAAATTCCAGCCTTTCCCTCTTCTTCATTCCGTGCATTTTAATGATGTCAAGTCTTAAAGAATCTGCTTCTGAAAACCTTTGCAACAAGATCCTTTCTCCAAAGCCACTGGCCCTTCCTTCAGTCTGGAAATCATCAGAACTACATGCCTTTTAAGTCATTGCTGTCCCTCCATCTTTGTTCTCCTTGAATCCATCCTCCATACCACCGTGAAAGTCATATTTTTAAAAATAGAGTCTAACCTTCTTGCCTGAGATCTTCTTATAGTTCTCCATCGCCTGCAGAATGAACATCAGCCTCCACAAGGTATACAGGTCTCTTGGGAGTCTGACCCCTGCCTTATCTGCCATGCAGGATCCACATGGCTTCAATTCTGAACTTCTCACCAATCCCTAAATATACTCTTCATTTTCACATTTCTTTGTGTTTGCACATGCTGTTTTCTGCATGTGGAATAACTTCTTCCTCCTCCCTCCATATCCCTACTTAGCCTCTCTGGGAAACTTTCAACTTTCCTTCTCAACCTTTAAGTCTCAGACTAAGCATTTTCTCCTCTGTGAAGCTTCTGGAGGCATCACGATTAATGATGAGAACATGGGCTTTAGTGTTACCCATCCACGGGTTTTAAACCTGGCTCTATCCCAATATAGCTGCAGGATTAATCTCGCCAAACCTTTGAAATGTGATGATAATATAAACCTCAGATTTATTAGGTGGGATTATCTACAATAAATGATAAAAGAGTAAATGAGATGAAATATCTTGCCCAGTGCCAGGCACATGGTAGACATTCAATCAGTGGTTGCTATCATTATCGTGCCTATAAATATTAATGATAAGCATAATACTAGTGACAGTAACATTCCAGGTACTCTCATGCAAATTTAGATACTCCTTGCCATGGCTTCTATATAGATTTGTATATGCCATCTGAATTGTGTACACATCCCTCTTCCCCACAAGGCCCCTTCAAAACAGTGAACCAGTTCAAAACAGTGACCTCTTTGTTATGAATTAATTTAAATATACCAAGCCTCATTGCTGAGAGGATTTGAAGAAATTTATAAGAGATATAGACCAATGGAATACAATGTTTATGCATTAAAGTTATAACAAAAGGAAAATATGGGGAGGAAAATAAAACCAGAGTAAATTAGTTCATAAAAATGTGTGCCTTGTAGTCTTGTGGAGTTCTCACGGCAGACAGCAGATTTGCCTTTAAGCTTCCTAGTGGTCAAGGCAGAGGGAAGCAAAATATATAGCATCTACAAGGTCACAATCAACAAATTACTGAGGATAAACATAACTTTTCTTGGAACTGTGCCTTTTGAGAAATTTCTTTGATGCATTCATCACAAAATGGCACTGTGGGGTAGAGGGGTTCCACGGTGACGGACTGTGAGGACTAGCTACTCAAGTTGTGGTTCTCGGACTGGTACCACCTGGGCACTTGTTAGACACGTGGAATCTCAGGCCCCAGCCAAACTTACCGAAGCCAAATCCACATTTTAACAACATCCTCACGTGATCTGTGTACACGTTACATCTTGAGAAATGCTGCTGTAGACGACAGTGCTTTCAATAACATCAAACGAATTAGTGAGTTTTGCATGATGGTTTCCTTATGTGTTTGAGTTTTGGATTCTAAATTCCAAATACATAAAAAAGAGTATAGTAAAAAATATAATTTGTTCCCAGATTTGACATGTTTAATGTCTTTCCAAGTATGTTTCAAATCTCTCTTTGAATGAAGAAACGAAACGCTGAACATCCTATTACATATTTCCTCCCTTTCCCCTCCCCTCGCCTCCGTCCTCGGAGGCCACCACTATCGTGAGATTGGAGAATACCGTTCCTCGAGAGGCTTTGCTGGTTTTACCACTTAAGTTTGTATCCACAGAATGTCATTAGGGAAGTAACTGTTTCTAGTGACGTTCCTCCGTCTTCCATGGAAATCCAGGGCACAGAGTGGAAACCAGACTCAGCAGAAAACATCAACACAAGGGGCAGCGCGTGCGTGAGGGCTGCACTCATGTTTCAGATGCTCTGGCTCAGTCCAAGTAAGAGTTGAGATAGTAGAACTGTAAGAATGGATGGAAAAAAGAAAAAGAGAATGGGGGTGGGGGGCAACATGTTGTTCAGGATTGGAATTCAACATGGCGCATTCAATTTTATATTAGTGGCTGTAGTACTGGGTCAGAATGACAGTGCTAGTGTGTCCTATTACATTTCAGTACCTTTTCCCCTCTTTTCCAAGGCAGAGATGTTTACCATCTGCTACCACACTGTGCCTTTGGATGCCACTCCAACTGAGAGAGAGAGAGAGAGAGAGAGAGAGAGAGAGAGAGAGAGAGAGAGCGCGCCAGGTCTGGGCTGGAGGACAAGGTTCTGGATAAAAGCTCTTATCCTAGGGGAAAGAGGCAAGAGCCCAAGACAGTGGAGCTGCCTCTGGGAGAAATGAGGGACCAGGGAGAGAAAAGAACCCAGGTCAGGGGAAGCGCAGGGGATTGGCCCACTAATGCCCACCCACTACGTCCTCCACTCTGGTCCTTTAATTTCCCTACCCTACTGTTTTCTCTCCTGCAAACTCTTCCTCCCTTCCTCCAATTCTGTGATGACTCCATCAGAATTTTCTGGACGTTCATAGTTGCCCAAACTGGTTCTGGAGAAATTAGAAATGATTAAGAAACAAAGAAAACATTTAAATTTACCAGGAAGCCAAGAAAAGATAATTAAATGATAATAGAAAAAAAAAACCCTAGAGGGGTTTAAAACCTGACAGGAAGTAGTTGGCACACTTTTAAACTGAGTGCACCTTTTTTTTTTTTTTTTGACTCTAAGGAGCTGTCATTCTCTAGATATATCTTAAGCATAAATTATTACAATTTGAGGTGGTTTTTAAATACCAAAAGTAACACTACTGCAAACACACGCACAATCAGAATTTTAATCCTTCTATTAAAAAGATTTGCTCTGTAAAATTTGGATTCAGTAACAAGGCCACACTCAGGGATTGAGAAGGCCACGCGTGACAGGAGGGTAGATCATAAGATGTTTTAGGTAGAAAATGCTCCGGGCCACTAGACAGGATGTTCACTAGGATGCGGCCTCTTTTGAACATCCTGCAATTCTTTGTAAGGTTGCCCTCCCTCTCTTCTGGAAAGTCTCGCAGAATTTGCGAGACTTGTGGGAGGATGTCCCCAGGGAGACCTGCGTCAGGGTGGGAGCTGAAGTACACTGACCTGTGAGGGTTTTGTAAATTGTCGTTACTATTAATTATTATTACTTCGCTTTTCAGAGTCTTTAGTATTGACAGAGTCTTTATTTCGGATTTTTTATTTTTACTCAAAAATAAAGATTAGGCATTTCAGGATTCCAATACATTCTCTTCTTCTCCCTCTTTTTAACCAATATTCCATAGACCCTTCCTAAAAAAAAGTACAATTAAACACAACGAAGGGAACACAACACAGAAAATATTTATGATTTTTGTGCTTGTGGAAATAATGCTAACTTTCTTGCTTAAAATATGTTTCCAAAAGAGAAAGGATTATGTCAAGGTGGTATGAATGGGTGTCCCTTCCTGTCCTTTGGCAGAGGGGACTCTTTTTTGATGTAAGGCCTATGTGATACTGAAAAGCCACAACTTGTCCTAAGCTGATTTAGGCTTTAAATCTCTCTGTTAAAGCTCTGTTTATTTTCATGAAGCCTCTTCTTTTTAACTCAGGTGTTGTATTTGTGTTTAGAAATGTATAACTCCAGCTTATGTGGCTCTTTTCCCCTCATGCAGATTTTATGGTGGGAGACGTGCGCTAAAGGACATTTGTATAATTACTTGTTTAATCTGGAAGCTCATTGCACTTTGTAGGCCACACAGCACGGCTCCAAGCTCAGGTATTAATAGTGTTTTTTGATGAGTTGATGAGGTCGATATTGATGGCAATGAAATGAACACGAGGATAAAATTAGTAGAGTGAGATTTAGGAACAGAGCATCCTTTGTAGATTGCTTTGCAGAAAAATGTAAGTTCATGCTTCTTCTATATTCCAGAAATGGAATATAGATGTCTACAGCATTCATAGCTGTAAATATACTCATAGCTACTCGCTTGTTGACTTAAAGCAGGTGTAGATTTGATTCGAGATTCTAGTCTTCTAGATATTTGTTCCTATAGGACATGAGAGAAAATAATGTTTCTGTGTCATTTGATAGTTTAGAAATTAAACAATTATTCCTTGTAATTCATAGTTTATGAGGGACCACTAGAGATTATTTAGCTCTGTTTTTAGATGGATTAACCCTATGCTATTCCAAACAGAAGATAATATATTTTGTTTTTAAAAATAGACAACGAATGTCACTTTCAGCGATTCTGGGATTAAAATAATACAAAACAACATCCTTCATTTTACTGTTTTGAATATCAGTATAGAATTTATCATAAATAGTTGCATAGTTCTTTGTTTCAATATATTCCTTGAAGTGTTATAATATTACTGCTTTCCCCAAAAAGTGTGCAATAAAAACCTGTTCTTACTGCTATTTACGAATACTTACTATGCATTAAGATTTTTTTCTTTGTTTTAAATTCTTACAGTAATCTATGAGGTAGGGATTGTATCCCTTTTTTATAGATAAGAAAATCAAGCCATAGAGAGCTTAAGTAACTTTCTTCAGATCAGTGGTTTTAAGTGCTGGGAGACCAAAGAATCTCTTAATCATGGCTCTCTGCCTTGGCAGAACATTAGTTTCACAAGATCTTAGTAGTGTTACTTGAAACAAGAGTCTTCTAGTCAAATAAGTGTTTGAAACAAAATTAAACAAGTTTATTGAGAATAGCTTTGTTAATCATCCCAATAGTCTTATAACTGTGATATCAAGGTATTTATAGAACATTGAAGTGACTATAGTTGGTCAAAATTTGCTAAATTACCTTTAGTGCTCAAAGATGAGTTCCTTAGCCTTTACTTAACACTACCCCATTAACAGTAATCTCCTTTAATTATTAAAGTAGTTATAGTTATAGTTTCTACTCTGTGTGGGCACAATGCTAGCATATTAACAACTTTAATTCTCAGAGCAGTATTAGCTATAAGCTCTCTGAAGGCAGGAACCATGTCTGTGTCATTCACAACTATCTGCCTTGAATAAATTATTATTATTGTTTTAGTAGGTGGGAAAACTGAGACCAGGCTGTTTCAATAACTTACTTAATGTAATAGACTAGTAAGGAAGAGAGTGGAGATTTAATTCCAAATAAATTAAAGATTACTTGTCCGTGTTGGCTTCTATATTCCTTAGGATGACACATGTAGCCTTTTGTGACCCCTGCCTGCTTCTCTAGTCTGGCTCCTTTCTGTGTGTCTGTCACTTTGTAAATGCTGTGCCCTGTATTTGGAATTTTCTTTTTCACTTTTTGCATTTGAAACACCGTTAATGCATTACCTTCTATGTAAAGACTTTTCTCACCTCTACTCATTTTTTCATCCCTGGCAGAATTCATCAAATCCTTCCTCGTGCTCTTTCTGAATCACGGATGTAGTATTACATTGTAATTTTTGTTCCTATTCTGACTTCCAACAAGAGGATGAGTTACTCTAGGTCAAGGCCTACCTTTATTCCTTTTGTTCTGCAGGGCCTAGGTGAGGATCTGGACACCATGTATCTTAGACATTTGGAATGAGTGACTAACGGGTGTCATCTTTCTTAAATATCCTGGGTCTCAAGTGAGCCTTCGTCAAGCAATGGATTGCAGTCAATTTCTGGCTGAATTCTTTAATGGATGCTTAAAGAAGTGGATCTTCCACTTCGGTGATTAAAGATGGATTTGTGTATTTTAGATTCCATGGGGTCAAAAGGTAGTTAATGTTCCATGATGAAATTCTGAGAGCCTGTCTTGAGGAGTCACCCAGACAGAGGCCTGGCAGCTAGGTCTATAAAAAAAGTCTCAAAAAAAAAAAAAAAAAAAAAAAAAAAGAAGAATCCCCCCCAAAAAGCAAACAACCCCCCCCCCCCGAATTTGAAAATCTCTGAAAGCCTAGCATTGGAAGTTACTATCTGATTTTGGCCACATTTATCGATCAAAACGAGTCACAGAGTCAGCCACCTTCAATGTGGAAGGGGTTTACAGAGCAGCAAATACCAGGGGGTATGGTTCATTGGGGGCCACATCTTCCACTTTGAAAGAAAACCAAACATTCAGGCATTCAGATTCATTTGTGTGTGTGAGTAGCCCTGTGGTCTCTTTATGGGAGAATTCAGCACAGGGCTACTTCCTGAGACCACATGGAGGACTTGGTCAGATTGTTATCATGATAGCTCTGGTTCCCTTAGAGGAGGAGGCAAAAAATTAATATAAATTGCATATGTACATACTCCTTTTGAGCAACTGGGATAGCAACTCCATGGGGACAGAATCAGATAATTGTTGGAGATGTGAATTTGCCAGTGGAGGGCATCACCCACAGGCAGTTTACAAAAGAAGGTAAGACCCATGAGAGCTACTGAGGACGAGGAGCCAGGAAAGGAGACATCAGAATGGCCTCAGAAGTTGCAGGAGAAAACATGCCCCAGAAACTTGTTTCCCAAGGGAACGTATCCTAGAAGCCCAAAGAGTAGAGATTTGTCCGTCCCATCCAGGAATGAGAAGCAGTTAAGGGATTTAGCAGTTGAAAGGTCATTAGTGACCCGGGAGGGAGCTGTTTCTTTAGAGTCACAGGGACTGGAATCCAGAATATAACGGACCATACCAGTTGTTCTCCAGCTCTGGTTTCTGTGAGTAACCTGAGAGTCTTGTCAAAACACAGAAATTTCTGATTTGGTAGGCCTGGAATGGAGCACGAGCACCTTCACGTTTAACAAGCGTCTCAGAACAGCGTGAGGCGGACCCCACTTGGAGAAATGCGAGATTAAAGAGAAAAGAAGACGTGGCGTCACAAACGTAACCACCTCGTGCTCTGTCATCCACCAGCTTCTCGGCAAAACGCAAGGTAGGAGCTCAGAGTGGAGAGAAGCGTCGTTTTGGCTTTTAGGGATGGGTCTATTTGGGCACATTTGTAGGCAAAGAAGAGTTGAACGTGTAAAAGAATAGAAATGAGCAAATGGGTGAAGCAAATGCCAGGAGGAGTTGGGAAGAGAGAGTCGGTTGCGAAGTTGGAGGGCATCTGCGGGCCTCTGGTCCCATGGCGGCGCGGTGACTCTGTGATTGGTGGGCTCGTCCTTCTCCGCAGTCCTGCAGCCAATGAGACGGCAGCTTGTTACGGGGTCCCTTCTCATGAACAAATGACATGAGAAGCCAGTTTAGCTGGTGATGGCTGCCAGCGTCTCATGAGGGGAACAACGAGCTGGGGCAATAGGAAGCACATCGTCTTGTAGATCCGTTTCCATTGTCCCCCAAACTGCCGTGATTACTACTCCATTGGCCCTGCTGCTTAGTCCGCCATGTCTTATTTATTTCTTTTCCTCCCTGATGGCTCTTCATTTTGTGCAGAATTAGAACCTAGGCTAGGACCTAGAGAGGCAGCCTGAGTGGTGGCCTGCGGTGGCCCGGCTTCTCCCCCACTTTTTCTGTTCCTTATTAATAGGTCCTGCTTTAGAGCGAGCCACCTACATCGGAATCACTTGGGGTGGCTGGAAAATGTGGAAGTTCCTGGATCCTGCCTTAGATTTGCTTGAATCAGGTTATTTGGTTCTTGGGTAAGAAAATACACATTTTAACAAACCCCCTAGATGACGCTTGTGCGTGTTGGAGTGAAGAACACTGAACTGGACAGTACCTCTGGAGAGAGCCTTCTGCTGGTTTCACAACCCTCCACTTTGACCACAAATGGATGCTGGATTATTAGCACAGACTCTTAGACTCCGGTCGATCCCTGGGTAGGAAAACTTGAATAGCAGTGTTGTCCTGGATTGGCCTGGACTTTGCTAAGCTGTCCTGAGCTTCATAATAAATGACATTTGAGGCCTCTCTGGGGTGAAGGGAGGTTGGGGCTTGCCGGGCAGCCTTTCTGTGACAGTTACTTTGCCTCAGTCTCCAACCAGAAGTTTTTTGGCTCATTCTTTACTCGTTCTTTTTAGCTCAGATGAGGAGTCATCAGAATGCTCTGGGTCTGCCCAATATCAACCTCGGAAGGAAATACGGTACTTTCTCTAAGGAATGAGAGGGAAGATATAAAGTGGTGACGATATGGAGAACATTTTAGCTCTCCAGCTTCCTGCCAGCAGCTAGACATTGATGCACATCTAAGCTCATTCTTTCCTTATTCCACCCCCTTGCAATGGAAGAAGTGACACTACCTGCTCCTTTCACTTCATCTGTGCCTAGACCCCATTGCTTCCTCCCCTCTAAGTGACTTTGATTTATTGATTATGTCCATGTCCTAGAGCATCAATTTCTTCTTCTCTTTGGCTTCTTCTGCTTAGATTTTTACCATGCTCAAGTCTTATCTTTTCTGAATCCAAATTCCTCTATTACCCCTCTTCTCTGTGTCTCTCAATAAAAGCATTGTTTACACTCCTGTCTCACTTCCTCATTCTTCACTTTCTTCACCCAATATAGTCTGATTTCAAGGTCACCAAAGGCCACTTTATGTCAAATCTAATAGAGTCTTTATCTCATTGTTATCTTGGCAGCATGTGGTACCTGTGACCATTTTCCTCTGCCCTAAAGTACTTCCCTTCTACCTAAGCCACATGCCTGTCCCCTCCTTCCCCCCAGTCTGCCATTCTACTCCTCACTCTGGCCACACTGTGTATATTTCAGTTCTGTGAGTAGCATGGGCACTTTCTTTCCTCTGCATCTTCTTGTGTGCTCTTTTGTTTCTCTAGAAATGTTTTTTTCCCTCTTTGCTTTGATGAATCCAAACTATTCCCTAATTCTTCACTTTCACAGCTCTTTCTCTGTTTCCTCAAGTCTGGGAAAGTTACACGTCCCATTCATTCCCACAGAACTCCTTATATGACATTTTTTTCACTATAATTACCTATTTGTCTGAAGTCCTCACTAGAGTAGCAGCTACATAAGGTTAAGGCTCGTGTCAATTGTTTTTACTGATTTATCTCCAGCTCCTAGTAGCCTACAGTAGTAATTGGCGTAGGTATCGGGGAGGAACATAATCAATTTCTTGCATAAATGAATAGAAATGCAGGCACACAGACCTGCATGCACCTACATTTGCACACACATACACACACACACACACACACACACACACTGTGGTTGTATGGATGCTGTGGGAAACCAAATTCAGTATGCAATAACATTTCACTTCCAGGGCATACTTTTTAATTGGAAAAAGAGGTTCACAAAAGATTGGTATAAAGGACAGTAAATGTGATCAAGGACAGAGCAGAAAAGGCGGCAGAAACAAAATAACACGTTAAGAAAAAGGTGACAGCACATGCAGCTGGGGTGGGCACTGCATAGAGAAAAAATCCTTTAAAACTTAAGCCTGAAGGATGATGCAAGGTTTGATAAGAAGATCTAGGAAAAGGGAGTTTCTTGTGAGAGGCAAGCACAGAGCAAAGTTGAGAGAGAAGGACCAAGCCGGTTTTTCAGTTGGAGCAAACAGGTTCATGTGTTAAGACAAGAGTTAACAAATGCCTGGGAAGGGTGGCATGTTGTAGATGCTCATAAAAGGTAAAAACAAACAGTTTAAAATGTCTGTTTTAGTAAGCTAGAAACTACTGAAAGATTTAATTTTACATTTTCCCCTGACAATTTATAGTTTTGCCATTTTAAAATTTCTATTAAAAAATTTTAAAAAGTGACGAAGATGTCTAACCACTGTAGACATCTTTGCAATAGTTTCTCTGTTTTAACTGACAATTATTTAGTATTATCAGAGAATTGAATTAACGTGAAACACATCATTCCAGGTAATTAGGGAATTGTTAAATGAATGTAGATCTAATTTCAATTCCTGTAATTCACTAAATCATTCATTTTTGCCATCCCTCGACAGCTTTCTAATACATATTCAAGCCTATTTGAATTCACTTTGTAATATTATTTATATGTCAACTGAGTGATTTACTAAACTTAGATATACCCTTAAGCATTAATCATATATTCTAAATGTGATTTAAAAACATGAGTGTAGTTACTTTGCTTGCACATTTTGTACTTCAGTGGCGCTGATATCCCATTAATGAGGATAGCTTCACATGCAGCTTGAGTACTTTTATTCCTTTTATGTTAGTCTATGGTCTATTTCCAAAAGTCATTGATTCAAGCCACTCCTTAGTCTTCAGTCTTTCAATCCTGCAATCACTTCTCTCTATTCTTAAAAGAGGCATGCCTGTATTATGGAGAAATTCAGTGCAAATGTTCTTTCGGGGATCACCAAGGAAACTGACAAATGTGCTTCTAGAAAGACTAGCTTGTGAATGCCTGCCCTGGCGGTGCTGGCCAGTGTTAGCAAAGAAAGAGGAACCAACCGCACCAGCCAAGTGAAAATGCACTGTCTCCACTTTCCTAAGAATCCCCAGCTGTGGAAAAGACAGAAGGCAAGGGAATTCAAAAGTATAGCTGTCTTCCCCTTCTCCCAGAGCCATGGTACAAGCCTGAGTGGGATGAGGAAAGATGATTTGGAATGGATGTCATAGTTTTAAATTAAATTGACTTAAAATTTTTAAAAAAACTTTAAGTTGAGTCTTAATTCCCCAAAAGATTATTGTTGTAGCTGGAATAACAATTGTTTTAGTTGAAAATATCTGGAAAACTACCAGCACATACTGGAAATACAATCATGGAAAAAGAGATTTAAGAGAGCCTCTTGAAGACAGTGGTAAGTGAAAAAGAAATCATTTCCTGTTTGCACCCTATCCAGTTCAGTCCATTTAATTGATCTGCAATGATGCTTATGTTTGTTACATTAGAGGTATCTTTGGAGTTATATAACTGATAAAAAATTCAATCAGCCTTCAGATCATCTTAATTCTTCCCTCCCT